TAAATCCATACATATTATGAATATGTTACTAAAAATAGCAAGAACACTGAAATGTTGCTTCTCCTGTGCTGATGCGTACCTGCCCTCAGTAAAAGCTACTTGGAGAGTTGGCTGCTTCTTTCTACCACTACCCTTTTGCCATTCAGAGTTCCATGGGTAATGCAGTCCTTACATGTCTTGATGCAGAGCCACTGTCAGTTTAGTGGTAGCCTAATTCAGCAGGTTTCAGAACCAGAGTGCTGGTCTACAGGAAGTCCAAACCAAGTACATGAAAAGCAGGTTTGTTAGCAAAGGGCAGGAGGAACCCAACAGTAGTTACTTGGTCTGTCTCATAAAAATGCAATCTGTACTGAGAACCAGCTCCTCTCATGTCTTTATTTTATACCACTTTGTCAAGGGTACTGCTATATCCACTCACTCTAATGATTTGCATAACTTAGTCTGCTCTTTGGAAGACTTTTATCTCCTCATAAAAGATGGAGCTAACACACAAGCTACTGAAGTCAGCTTTAAAAAGGTAAACTCTGTGCTGTGTCTTTGAGTCCACCATGTTCCTTGCACTGATGGATGGGAATCCTTTCACCTTGTTGCTGCTGGTAAACAAAGAAAATTCCGCCAATACCGGTGCCAAAATTAAGAACTTGGATTCAAAATGTAGAATAGAACAACACACTTTCACTTCTCAGTATGTTTGAACAGCTTTGAGAAACTCTACTGTCCTCTAGAGTCATGATTCTGAGTGGAATTTTCAATAAAGGTGGTAAGAAAGGCTGACCAGGTCCTGTGGCAACACCTCTGTGCTGGCCAGCTGAGCTGTGGCCTTTTCTTCGTGCCTTCATTTGCAGCATTGACAGCTGGTGTAATTTTTCTGTGCTTTAGGAGAAAAGTTGCAGGTCTAAGTAATGAAGTGAATCATCTGACACAGGGACACAAATACACTTTGCCAACCACAGCTTAGCAGTTTTACTGATTTGGGGTTTTTTGTGTGTGTGTTCCCCTCTTCCAGATTGAGCAAGAGAGGATTGACAAAATCTGGCCAAAGCTTCGAGTGCTCGCCCGCTCATCGCCCACCGACAAGCACACCTTGGTGAAAGGTACAGGCAGACTACCCTGTGTGTGTGATTGATGCCAGAGTTACTGCATTGGGATCAGCACATCATCTGCATTGTAAAAATATTACTGTTGCAAATATATCTGAGTTGTTACCTTTAATTGCATGTCTATCTGTAAGGCAGGGGAGTTTTCTCAGTCACCAGGTTTCTCGTGTTTGTGTTCTACCTGAGCCTTCAAATGGACAACAATGGGGAACTAGTTGGCAAGAATGACTGAGATACTAATAAGATGCCTGGCACGTAGGTGTAGGCAATCTCATGTTTGCCTTGTGAGTTTTAGTTGGGCCAGAATGAAGCTTTAGCTAGGAAAGGAAAATGTGTGTTTACTGGTCAGAAAGAAAATATTTTTGAGAAATAGGTGGCTCTTCACATAAACAAGAGGGACCATAGATTCCATAGTCTTTGCCTATGCTTCTTTATGAGGAAAACAAGAACAAGGTCATTTGGAGTAAATCAAGTCACTGAAGTGCATCTGTTCTCCCACAGTGATTTTTAAAGAGTATTCCAAGCTAAAAAACTTTCCATGTTACAGTAGCAGTTATTGGGGATCATGTAACAAGGAACCTGCCCCCTTTAGCATTCCACGAATGGAGAGAGGTATTTTAAGCCAGTCCTGTTTCCCTGTAGGCTCACTAATTGTGTGATTTGCATTGGCTTCCTTTAGGTTTCTGGCTGTATTTTCAGAGTCTGGTTTTGTCCTATAAAAACTGCACCATAAAGTGACATCCTCTTACTACACTGCAGATGGAATGCTCTATAAGAGGGATTTGGTTTCAGTTTTCTTCATAAAGCCTTTTTCATATCTGCAACTCACACTTCCTGATGACTTGAAATGTTTCTCTGTTGACTTTGAAGCTCACTCTTAAAAGACAGATAAGATGGAGGCCAGAACAGGTGGAAGCCCTATTGGCACATGGCTGAGTTTTCTGGCGTCCTGATGAAGAAAGAACTGGATTATTTTGTTAAGGCCCTAGAATGTCTGGAGAGACTCCTCTTGGTGATTGTTGGAGGAGCTAAAGTTCAGGATAGAATCCAGGTGGTCAGTGACATTTTTTCAGGTGACTGGCTACTTAAATAATAGTTCACATTTTGTTAGGAAATACCCATGTCAGGGACAATGGGGGTGCAAGGAAGAAAAACTTTTTTACCATTATGAATTAGAAGAATACTTTTAAAATACTGCATATTTCATCTCTATGTCATCCTTTTCTAATGTATGTTGTCCATAATATAGTATTACATATGTATGATTTATAAAAAATATACATATTTTGGGGGGTGTGTGCTCAAAAAGATTTCACCCATATGTGTTCATAATTGAAAAGCTTTGGGGACCATTGGTTTGGAAAACATAATAATTAGCTCCAGAGATCAGTATCATAACAGCCCAAAGTTAGCTGAGGTCTCCTCACCTTCCTAGTGCATGTAAAATACTGTCTTACAGCTTGTAGGGATCCTGACTTGTACAGCCTAATAGTTTATTGTTTCAAAAACACACAACAATTTGTGTTTCATTAAGTGGATTAAATAAGTCTCTTGGGAGTACCCATTTGAATCATTCAAGATTTCCCCTTCAGAGAAAAATGAAACCTTTGCCAGAGAAAATGAAATCAGTAAAGAGCTGAAGAAAAATAAGCAACAAATTATTAAATGTTTTATAGCATATGCACTTTGCCAATCCAAAAGATATTTACTACTACTGAATGCCTTACGTAACTAATACAATTTATGTTTTAAAGATATGACAAGGTCAAATGATAGAGCAACTAAGTATCTAATGAAGTTCAACAACAAGTCTGTGGAAAATCATGATGGAATTTTTTGGCTGATAATACTCCAAGGGCCATTAAAAGTTACAAGAAACTATTTAAATGTTCACTAGTTTTGGGCCTGTTGTTAAAATGTTATGTTTTTCTCAGACACTTGAGGGATCAAGAGGATTTTCTCTTCTTTGATGTATTCTATCTGCTCTAGGGTAAAAACACACATCACAAAATAAACTTTTTTTATATTTCATTTTTAATGACATACAGCTGCTGGAGGGAATATTTTTTCTCCTTAACGTAGCACAATCCCACCCAGCAAAAGGAATCACTTTTATTTTGCTTTTTTTGGTTTTATTACTGCTAAGAGACTAGAGAAAGACATGGTTCAACATCTTGGGCTGGGCAGACAGCTTCTCTCAAATATTCATGGCTTTGAAATAGAGGTGGATTGAAGAAAAAACAAGTCTAAATGGTTTATCATCCCAACCTGTTTCAGTGAAACAAAAATGTCAGGTATCTCAATCCAACTGAAATGCAATTTGTTATGGATTTTCTTACATCAATTGGTATTATTTAATATTTTTTACCTGATTTCAAAATATAAGAAGGAAAAATGCTATCATTTACACTGAGGTGCCCTTATAATACTATGCTGAAATACTGTCATATTGTTTTTTAAAATACTGTGGGAAGGGTTGAAGGGCAGGTTGGATGGGGCTTGGAGTAACCTGGTCTGGTGGGAGGTGTCCCTGCCCATGCAGGAACTAGATGATCTTTAAGGTCCCTTCCAACTCTAACCATTCTATGATTCTATAAGCAACTGTTCAGTACTTCTTATCAAAAGGTATAGAGAAAATCAAATAAATATTCAGGTTACCAGTTAAAGAAACTGTGCTATCCAGTATGTTTGAATTAGACTGGCATTCTTTTCCTGTGATATTAAAAGCAACTGTTCTCATGTAAGGCTGATTTATTAAAAAGCAGAAAGGGAACTCTAAATAATTAATATTTGTAATAATTACTCTTAATTAATAAATTGTTTCAAATATTATTGCATGAAGTGGTATTACACTCATGACCTCAGTAATGTGGACATGCCATGAGACTTGGTAGAATAATAAAAATAGAGAAAAGCTTATTAATTGAAATTCTGAAATTAAGTATCAGCATGTTGCAAATTGCAAGTGGTTTTGATATCCATGTGAGAGAAGTGTTTAATATTTTAATTCAAATTAGTATGAAGAAATATTCAGAAAGTTGTCCTGTCCCACAGTGTAAAAAGTCAGCTCCAGCCAAGCCTTCCCTATAGCAATAGTTTAAAGGAAGCAGGAGGTATATATTGCATTTGAATCCTAAGTTTTATCCTGTGTAAATACCAGTTAGGTTTCTCTAGTCTCTGTTAAGAGTAACTGTGGGAGGCACTGATGCCTTCAAGGTTCCCCTTTCATATTTCAGTCCTATAAAGTACATTGGTGGTACCTCCCTAGTACAGAAATCTGTGCATTTTCCATGTTCTTCTCTGCCATCCTCAGGCCATCATAGCCTGAACTTCTGGAGCACTATTCACTTAACAATTACCAGTGCTGCTGGAATCTTTTATATAATACTTCTACATTAACCTTTAAAGCTCTATTGCTGCACATACTAACTGAAGTGAATTTAAATTTTCTCTTTCGGACAGACTAAATTCTTGTTAAATTAAAGGGAGTTTCCAAAAGTTTGGAAGTATTGAAAACTAATCTGTGCAGAATATTTATTACTGCATCTGTGTTTAGCTTGTCAAAAAACATAAAAGCATGTAAGCATGTGGGATGCCTAAGAACAAAGCTTTATTTACTGACAGAGTAACACCTGAACTGGTGCCCATCTTTTAAGTGCTCTACTGTAGCCAAGATTTTTCTGTTGGACTGTTTTGAATTAATCAGTTGAGACAGAAAGAAATACCCAAACAAGGATTTATTTTCTCCCAGAGCCGATGGATTTGTACTCTTAAGGGTGACAATGCAAGTAAGCATTGCTTAAAAAAGCAGCATTTATTCTGCAGTAATGGAGAACCTGAGGCTGCATTTGATGTCTTTGATCTGAGCCATGGGCACAGATAGCTCCTTGTCAACGAAAAGGAAGACACACTGTTGGTTAATATTCTTTATATTATTATCCTGAGTGGATCTGATCTAATGCTTCCTTTAATGTTAGATGGGAGGAAGGTGGGAGATACAGGATAATTTTCATTTTCATCTGTGTGTGCAGTGCTGGTGCCTTTTATAACCAGCTTGTGCATCTAGTGCCCCTCTCGACAGCTGTATTTTGTTGTAAATATCATCTTCTCCCTCATCAGAAACAAACTGCTTGGGCTGAAACAGGTAGGCCTTATGAAAGCTACATGAATGCTTCTGAAATTCCTGCAGCATCAGCAGAATCTGTGTGTGGAACACACTAATGTTATGCTCCAGGTGTATCCCTGTGGCTGTTGAATAAAATTCTCTTTGACAGAGCAAACTTGTGGCTGAACAGCTTCAGACGAAGGAGCAAACCAATGAAACAGCTAAGACTGATTTGGGAGGAAGCTTAGCTGAGTTTTAGTAATTCCCCTGCCACACCTTGCAGACCTGTGCTTATTGAAGTGCTGCAATTGAGCATTTAACTGGAGTAAAGCACCTAATTCTGAAGAGATGTCCTGGCTGTTAGACGTGAATACTGAAAGGTCTTTTTAGCTGTTCTGAGTGGAAAGGCCAGTGGATGTTAAAGAACTGGGCATTCTCTTTATTGGCAGCCTGTCAGGTCATGCCTTGTTTTCCTTTCTCACTCCTCACTGAAGCAGTTGCTGTCCACAGCTCAGGAATGCAGAGGGAGAACCCTTCCTGGGCATCCCACTTCTCACGGGTCTCCTGACACTCTTTGTAACATCTGTACTTACTGTGTTACTCGGTACTGAAGAAAATTCTTGAGGTGAAACCTTACCACAGCTATTATCAGAATGATATTAGAGAAATAATAAACGAAGTGTGGTTAGGAAGGAGGCAAGTGCTGGAAAGAAGGCAAGCAGTCAGAAGTGCAAGGAAAGGGAGAGGAGGCACAGATGAGACAGAACATGCAGAATTCAGGGAGCATAAGGATAGCTCTGATAAATCTTCTGAATCCCAAATAATCACCACTGCTCCATTTTAGAAATTTGACATAGAAGTGTAAGTTCTGCAAAGACCTTCTCTCTTCCTCTGAACGGCTCTGAAATGCATGCCCATACTATTGTGCCATGCACTGGCATTTCTGCTGGCACTAGCAGTGGTCACTGTGATGAAAGTGTGTGGCTGAGGGGCTGATGGGAACCAAGATCATTCTACCTCTATTTTTCCTTGACTGCTGATTATGCAGTTAGAGAGTGGTTACAGTTCTGTGCTCTGAAGGATGCTGGGCTTATCCCAGCTGCACAGTTTGCTTTTAGGGATTAAAATTACTTGTGAACAGCCACAAAACCTTGTAAATAATTTAGCTGCATCCAGCAATAGGCTGATGCAGGGCAGTTGGTAGGACTCATTGACATTAGAGCACTATTTCTATCTATTAGGAGATAATTTGTTAGAGCTTCTTCAACTTGATTAGGGTTGTGCTCCCATTTGGAACCCAGTGGTGAGAGGATGCTATCTACCTGTTTGGAGCAGCTGATGCCATGATGTGTCAGAGATTTTAATGATTTTTATTTATTTATTTATTTATTTTTTCAGAAGCTCAAGCTATTAATTTAACATCAAGGGATGTGTTAATAACAAGAAGGGAAGCCCAAGATAAATGCTTTTAACAGTAATGGCAGATGATGTTCCTGTTTATTTAGTAATATCAAAGGCAAATCACCCCAACAAATTGAAAGCTCTAATTATAAGATGTTATCAGAATAATGTGCCATTTATCTGAGTTCATACTGCCCAGGGAAAGTGAATAGGGGTGTTTTTTCTGGTTTTTGAAAGACTGAAAAGTACAGGACACTAAGTGCTTTCATGCAATCTTCTGGATGCCTGATAAGCCTGAACCTTGCCAAGAGGCAGCTATTGCTCTGTAATCTGCAATTTCCTATTTCTGGTTAGTTATCTGATATGTGAGTTATTTTTTTTTCCGGAGTAGAATGAAAGCTTTTCACACTGGGTGGTTTTGATAATTGTTTTTAGTGGTTATGACTTTGTGCAAAATGTGTTAGCAAAAGGAATTTTGTCATTTTTCCTCCCAAAGTTATTACCCAACAATTCTGTATTCTGGACTCATATTCAAATGGACTATGACATGAAAATACAAACAGGAGTGGTGAATGATCCCCATCCTATTAAAAAACAAGGCTGCTTCTGTAACCTTAGAAAAACTCTTGATTCTTTTCCTTACTTTCTCCATGTGCATAAATAGAAAATAACTTCCCTGCAGGCTACTTGTGTGAAACCTGATTCACTGAGTGATAAGTGCTTTCTTTTCTCCAGCAGTCTCAAAATGAAACTAGAAATTATTTTATTCTATTTATTAAACTGTTTCACTCCAGAATGTAAATAATTATACCTTCTTACACATTGTTTGGCAGAATTGAACATGTCTATTAAAATGCTAATTTGGTTTCAGCTAAATAAAATTAATCAATGGCATTTGTTATCTTTAGGTTAAACTGATTACCAGGAGGGATCCCAGTAAATCAGATATTACAGTTCAGTCCCACTTTAGGGGAGTTTCAAGCATGAACTCAAGTCAAATCCTTTCCATTGATGTTTAATCAGAGAGCTGGGCTGAAACGGGTTTACTTTTGACACATAATTTTAAATGGTAGAAATCTTCCTAAAGAACATAATAAGCTGATCTCATTTTCTTTGAAGTCTGTGGAACTTTGTAGAGGTTTTGATGATGCAGGATCAGAACTTGCCATGTAAATTCTAGTAGTGGTGTCTCATAGTGAGTCTTATGTGATGACACTGCTTTCATCTCTGTTTTCCTTAAAAAACAACTCTATTAATCCTTGTGTGGTTATATGTAGTGTACATGACACAAACCCTGCTGTTTTTTATAGGGAAGTTTTATCTTGCTCATTAATTTATACATATATAATATGTATACCCACACATACTCTCTTTTTGCAGGTATTATTGACAGCACACAGGTGGAACAGAGGCAGGTCGTGGCTGTGACTGGTGATGGCACCAATGATGGACCAGCACTTAAAAAAGCTGATGTTGGCTTTGCAATGGTATCATCTTGAGCATATTTCTTGATCTTTGTGTCAATATAAATGTGCTGTAAGAGGGGTTTTTGTTCATTAAGTATTGAGGAAATTGCTTAGTTTTACTGACTCAGTGAAGCAGTGTATCAGAGAGGGTGAGTAGCATTGCTGCAGAATTCTTCTCATTACTGTGTTAGTTTCACTGGTATTGCCTATTCTGATGCATTTTTCAGTATTTTGTCTAAGGTAGCTATTGGCTCTGTGCAGAATCCTGTGCCAATACACAGACATGGACTCTGTTCTTCACAGCACCCACGTACAATTTTACTCTGGTAAAATCCAAAGATGTTGTCCCAATATACTCTGCCTCTGAAGACATTAATTCACTAGAGTATATACTCAGACACGTAATTCTAATTTTTGTTAGCAATTCTGTTTGTGTATATTAATAAAATACCATCAATGCTAAAAATAACTCAGAAGATTGCTAGTCATTCAGCTGATAATGTAAAACCCTAAAAAATATCATCACATGAATTCCAGTGCTCTCCATCAATTCCCTTTTCTATGTCCTTACTCACTTTCAAAACCAGGCCAAATCAGCTCTCTTCCTAGCAAATCTACAGTCCAGAGCATACTCAGCAGTCACTCTGCTGGGAAGTCTGTACAACTGTGGACTTGGAATGAGTATGAAGATTTGTATTCTAACTGTCTGTACTTTCCAGCAGGTAATTTCAACTGCTATTACTTTTCCCAGGGTATTGCTGGAACTGATGTTGCAAAGGAAGCCTCAGATATCATCCTTACAGATGACAACTTCAGCAGCATTGTGAAGGCTGTCATGTGGGGCAGGAATGTCTATGACAGTATCTCCAAGTTCCTGCAGTTCCAGCTCACTGTTAACATTGTGGCTGTGATTGTGGCTTTCACTGGAGCATGCATCACCCAGGTAAGTTTCAGTTCAGGTGTTGGTTAAAGTATGAGGCCAAATCCTACCACACTACATTTTTTACTTTTTTTTTTTAGTTATAATGGTGTACATTTGATTATTTCATTGTACAACAGAAAGTATTCTTTCTGAAGGAATTCTGAGCATCCAGAGTGTGTTAGGATCAAGCTGCTGAATGTTCAATAGCTGTTGACATAAGGAAGTGCACTAATCCATCTTCTGAAATAAACTGTTTGTAAGGAGCTGCTAATTTTTGTGCTGCCTCCATACAGATCCTTGGTTTTGTTTATGTATTATTGTCATGATTAAGTGTATGATGGCAGGACAGAAAATGACAGGGATTGGGAGAATGAAGAGTTTATGTGACTTTGCCTTTTCCTCTCAGTGTATTTCACTATTAAATATATATTTCTCGATGGATTATGGAATGGGATTATTATTTTCAGGAGAGCAGTACTGACACACAGAAGTAATCTCAGCAGGGGAGTTTTTTGACTGATACAATTATTTTGTTGCTCTCAGGCAATTCCTTTCAATTGCAAATGCAAATAACAAACCAATTAAATTATACAGTTGGACTTTAATCCCTCTTTCTCCCTCTACATTAACCCCTCATTGCAATTCTGGTGTACATGCAACAATGTCTAGATCTTTAACAAAAAGCACATGTGAAAATAAACCTCTTTTTATAACCTTCAACTTACTACTTTTGATTAATGACATTGTTTCCTTTTTCTAGAAAGAAAACAGGGTGTCTTTGGTACAGCCTGAGATTTTCATCCTTTATTAGAAAATAGCAAAAACATGTAGGTTTTAGTGCTGTCAGTCCCTAAAATAATGTATATTTCAGATGCTGCAGACAGGTGCTGTTACACAATGCCCCCTTGGATTGAGACACACTGTGGGAAAGCTGATGCTTCCCTCTCTTGTGCATCATACAGATGCACATACCTGTTTCAGCAGGTAGATTTCACCTCATGCACACCTGAGCAAAACAATGAATAAGTCATTAGTTCTACTCCAGGGTAAACTTACATTGTAATAATGGAATTGATACTTGAAACCAGAAACCCAGGTACCTTTACAAAGCCATGAGGTCAAACTTATTCTAAGCCTTGAGTGACATTTAGAGGCCTTTTTTGTGCTGCATATGAGCCTGCAAGCTCCCAGCCAACAGCTGAGGAGCTGCCTTCATTCAGCTCCTCTGAGCTAAGGGCTTGTACTGGGGTGGCATCCTCAGAGACATCAGAAATGGCTGGTTTTGAAGCAAGTGGCAGTGACCTTAACAAATGAAATAACTATTTTATTCCATACAAAGGAAGCACTGAAACTTCAATTCACATGTTTTCTGAGAATTAAAGTTGTGAGCTGCAAAGTGCTAGATTCCTCCCACACTGCCCCCAGGGCTGGGTGGTGCTTTGTTGTCACAGCTGAGCCTGTGCTATGGGACAAAATTACTGATGTTGGATTAGAAATTGGATACTTTTTCCTTTTCCCCTGGGAAAGGTTTCCAAGCCTGCTGAGAAAATGTGTAGCTGTAAAATGATTGTTGCCAGTAAGAGAAGGTTATGTCGCTAAGGACTGAAAGTCTGGCAGGTCAGTCCTCCTGGATTATTATCAGTGGTACAAAACTGGATAGAAAAAAATGGTGACAGCAATGAGGTATGATTCCCAGCATTGGAACCAAGGCAAGTGCTGCCTTTCAGGACCTTTTTAATTGATATTCCTGCATTGCCTACTAACATTTATTGAAGGTGAGTGTGGTTAGTGTCCAGCAATTTTAATTTGCTTTGTAAAAGCAAGAAGGGAAATATATTCTATTTGTTATTGAAGGAATTTCTATTTTATTCTTGAAGAGGTTAAATATTACTGAAACAGTGCAAAAGGGTATTTTAAACCAAGCCTAAATACATGTGTAGTGGTCAGTGCAAGCACATCCCTCTGACTTATTTCAGAGCTTTCTTTATCCTTTGGATCATTCCATTGGCTTCTAGAAGGATTTGGATCAGGCCAAGTGTGTTTGCATTGCCTCAGCAGTCTGTAAGACCATCCCTGAGCCTGCCAAGTCTGTTGTCCCTGTTTACAGGTTTTAATGTACACTTCCTAGGATTCCCACCTTTCTGCCCAATAGATTCTTATGCAGTTCCTTAATTTGGCAGTAAAAATACAAATCCAAAGGAAGAGATCTGAAAGGAGCTGCAACTGGAAATGTAGGAAAAAGGCAGCAGTTATTTCCAGTTCAGTTTTGTTGACACTCAGTGGCCTGACTGCTGATGCTCTCAAGTAGCTCTCAGTTCTGCCTCATTGAACACTCTTGTGTTATGACTGAACATCATTAAGGCTTTGACTCCAAGCCTGTAAGCCAGTGGAAGGGCATTATGTTTGTTTGGCTGGGAAGCTTTACTAAAATTACTCTTGAGAACATACTGTACCCTCTGGTTGCTACGAAAATAGCTCTAGCACAAAATGCAGGGCTAGACTAAAAAAATCTTGCATACAACAGGCTAGATGCACACATGTAAAACCCCAAAACTGTGCACAAGTCTTAAATTACAATTTTGACTGAAGCATTTAAGTTCTTAAAGAAATGAAGCTAAAATCCATAGTTTCCAAAAGGCAGCACAGCTTTCTGTGACCTTCAAAATGAATACAAAGAAGGTCCACATAGGACTGAATTGTACTTGGCTTTTAGGTAGTCAGTTTGGCTTTCATTGACACGCAGAGTATCAGTTTAGCCCACAGTTAATATTCAGGTTAGTGATTGTTTCACAGACTGCCCTTTTGCTGAGGTTTCATCAAATCTAGAATGAGAAAAAAATTATATCTAGGTAGTAACATTTACTTCACACTTCTTAATATCACCTCTCAAAAAATCTGTTCTGCCATTCAGAGCCAGCAATACTGGGACCCTTTGAGTATGAAGCTTCTTTACACTTACCTACCCTTCTTGGTGTTTCTACTGTTTGTGCTTAAAGGAGCTACAAAGATAGTAAAATCTTTATTTTGGCTAATTTAACACTTGGCTTGTGCTTTGCAACTGAAGAGACTTATTTTTGTTTTACCTCAAATCCACAGGTGCACCAGTGTATGTGTAAATATGTTTGTGCTCATATCACTGCTGGACTCCTAGTGAAACCACAGCAGCTCTATATTAATGAGAGGATCTGACTGTGGGAGTACAATTGGGAGTGAAACTAGATCTCCAAGGAGCACCTAGAGAGTTCTTTGCCAAGTAGGAGCTGATTTGTTTGGCCCAGAGAATCTTATGAGTGCCATGGAGAGGTTTATGAAAAATAGGAACCTATGACCACTAGTGGTCATTTCAAGAATCTGCTACTTTTTTTCTCAAATACAGAAATAAAATCAGTGTCCCTGTCAATTCCATTTCAGGGAAGTACTGATTACCTTAATTCTGTTAATTTTAAGCAAATATTTAATTAATTGTCTACCCAATGATCGCCTCAGGAAGATGCTGCTATTAGAGAGAATAATTATCACAGCTACTGTTTCTGCTTTGTCCTGGTTTGCGGTTTAAATAGAGGGGTAACTACATGTATAAAGTGTGTGTGTGACCCTGCATGCTACTCCAGTGTTAAACAGGGAGTGTTACTCTGGTGTACTCCAGTGTTAAACAGGAGTAGCAGTGGGCTATTAGAGACGTTATTATGCAGACTAAACAGGACCAATGTAAATGGTCTTTTGCTGTTCTCTGTTCCGAGTCCCAGCACAAAGTCATGTTGAGGGGACAAAAATCATATTCTAAACAGCATGGGAATGGCAAGTACAGTGTCACCTGGTGATAAGCTTGGTGTGACTGCTGCTGAAACTGAGCTGGCCCTCATGGGCACCTAACTTCTTAAAAGGTGTGTGTGACCCTGCATGCTACTCCAGTGTTAAACAGGGAGTGTTACTCTGGTGTACTCCAGTGTTAAACAGGAGTAGCAGTGGGCTATTAGAGACGTTATTATGCAGACTAAACAGGACCAATGTAAATGGTCTTTTGCTGTTCTCTGTTCCGAGTCCCAGCACAAAGTCATGTTGAGGTGACAAAAATCATATTCTAAGCAGCATGGGAATGGCAAGTACAGTGTCACCTGGTGATAAGCTTGGTGTGACTGCTGCTGAAACTGAGCTGGCCCTCATGGGCACCTAACTTCCACTGTGGCCTGTTTCAGTTCCCAGCAGCTCGATGTGTAAGACAAGAGTTCCGAATTTTCAACTGCTAATGAACTTCTGTGACTCTATACTTATGTGAAACACCCCGAGGTCTAGGTTGTACAAGCCAACAGAGCTTCAAGAAGTCTCTAAAAGCTGAAAACAGACCACTCAATCTGTGGCTGCACAGGTGCTCTTGTTTTGTGTCCAGGGTGTGCAGAGCACCCCCAGGGAGGTCACAACTCTTGTTTCTGCTAGTCCCAGGTCAGTGCAGTTTGGGTGGCACAGTGCAGCTGAGCTGTATTAATTCACCTTACCTTCCAGCTAAGCTAATTCATTTACCTCTTGTCTGCTCTCTTGTGTGCCCAGTGCACACTTTTAAAATGATCAGGGTGTGGTTATCTTGACCAGTTTGCACAGAATTGTCTTTATGTTTAGCAACCATTAGGTTGCTAAGTCTCAGGTTAAACCTGGATTTATGAGATATAAACTCTTATATTCTGGCTTCATTCTCTGAATAAAAGTTTTGCAAAACCCTCGAGTGACTCAGTGAGGGCTCTTCTTTGGAGCTCTGCCTACAATTACTGTGAATTTTGTACTTCAAATGAGTGATTGCTCCACATTTCTAGGTACCATATAGAGTTCTATATGTGCCTTACAAAGCCAGGAAGCTCGTCCTATTTCCTGTCCCTGGCATAATACACAGTACCAAGAAAATATCAGGTCATTATGTTTGGAGTTGCTAAAATAATTTGGGTATGTACAACATAAAGATTTTAAAATTCAGTTCAGTCAAATGAAAACAGTTTTTTACTGGAACTGTAAAGCTAGAAAGGTTCTACCTGTGCCAAATTCTGTCTGTGTCTCCAACTGTTGAGGCAATGTAACTATCCAAAAAAGGCTGCATTAAAGAAAGAGAGAGGCTGTTTTAACATTTTGGATTATGATTATTTTTCTCATACTTTGAGAAAGACTTAGTTCTAGCAGGCATTGGGAACTGAAAGCAGTGACTCTATAGGACATTATGTTTGGAAAATTAAATGTTAATTAAAAAGCACTGTAGCAGTGAACTAGTGTATGAATCACTTATCGTTTTTAAAAATCTTGCTCAAAAAGTGAGGATGATCCATACTTACATGTATAAGGCAGTAATTTACAGGGTTATACTGTTTTACTGCAGAACTCTATTTGGCAAATTCTAAAATAATAGCATTGGCAAATTTGAAAAAGCTATAGTATAAAATCAAAGTATGTACTGTTTAGCTTTGTTTTGGGCAGGCTTAGAGGCAGGGAAATAAAATGGACATGCCACTTTCATACAATTAGTAGGCAGTGTGATCTAGCAGCAGAATCCAGGGCTGAGGGTTTTTTTGCATTAATATACATAATGTTAACCTACCAGAAATGCTTATATTCATGAATCCGTGCATGTGTTCTGTGACAATTGGGAGTAAAGAGGTGAAGGTGAAAATACCTTTTTTATTCCCTTACAGCTTGTCATCTAAATCAAAAGTAACAAGCTCCAAAATTTGTGAGGCTCTGCATGTCACAAAAGATTTGTAGTTTATTTCCAGCCGTTGGTGATTTGTACTTTTAAATGTTTCCAAGATGAAGTGTAACATCACTTGATTTAAGGGACATTTTCCTTTTACCTCTAGGCAAACGCTAACCTATTCCAAGGTCAAGTGGAAAGGAATTTGACAAATAAGCGGTGATTTTAGGTGGTTTGCAATTTGAACAGCTTTCATCCCCAAGGTTTTCAGAAAGTGAATTAAGAATTATTAGCTAGTCAGTTAGTGGCTAACATGGAGTGAAAAGAATGTTCAATTTGCATCCCACTTGCATAAGTGACTAAAATCTGTAATAGAAGACTAAGCTCCTTAGCTGATACGTATTTTCCTCAGTTTCCACCAACTAATCAGAAATCAGATATAGTTGCAGTGGAAATTTCATTCCACTGCCTTCCCAGACTAATGTGTATTTAATGTTTTGGCTTCAGCTTAGAATGAGCTTTCACACTTGACTGAACAGTGTAGCACTGCCAATAATAGATAATTATTAGAGGCACCATAGCCACCCAAGGTGATTGGCAGTGTGAAATGGTGAGAACATGCTGTTGCCAAAACTGATGGCTGCCAGTTACAGTTGTGTGATTTAGAGACTGAAAGGATCTGACTTTTCATTATGCTAGGAATATCTCAGACTCTGATAGACACCTGAATATTGGACTGTGGTTATTAAACATAACTGACAAATTCAGCTTTATTGACATAGAAGTCAGCGCATGAAGCAGAAAATGTGGGGTTTTTTTCCAGGAAAAACTTATTAACTAGACAGGTAAAACAGTAGAAAATATGTTTTCCTTTTTCTGTAGATACTGTGTCTGAATTCAGGGTCCCTGAGCCCTAGCAACAAACTTCTTTGAGTGCAAATGCACTCCTTGTTTGAGCCATTAGTATTAATAAAAATAAATGAGGTCTCAGTTTGGAAACAAGTTTGTCCTGATTGCTTTCAGTTTTACAGCCACCTCTAAAGACAAAGACTTTTCCTGTTTCTGCAGCTGCGTATCAAGGGAGTGAACTGAACTCTCCAGATAAGCCCAATTAATACAACCCATAACCAAGAGGTCCAGAATCTCCTAGGCCAATCTTCCTCCCTTCCCTGTGTTGCCAACCACTAAGATTCAGAGACAGTTGGCTGCTTTTCTCCATCCTTCTGGATAAGCCAAAAATGAGTATTTTTAATAAAAATTATCAAGGTTTGTCTAAATATAAGGGTGTTAAAAATATGTTTTCAAGAGGAAATAATATTTTATCTCAAGGGAGAGCTGAAATACAAACCAGATCCACAACGGCCAAAAACCACTTACCCTTGTTCTGCGTATGTCTTTGGCATACTGAATGGGTATGTGTTCTCATTATTCAATAATATTTAATTTGCAATGAACATTTAACCCTTTGAAGAAAAGGGCAGAGTTCATAAGGTGTTTTTAGTGGCTTTGACAAGGCTTATATGCTGTTCCATAAATGTCTTTGTCCCCCTGCTGCAGCACCGTGTAATGCATAAGAATAGCCCTCTGATATTCCACCTTTCACACTGTAAATAAAATCCCTTCTGTTACAAAATTCCTCATACTGATACCTTATTTTTTTAGATCTGTTTTTCTAGTTAAAACCATCTATTTGAAACACAAAAAAAAGCCCCTTACAAATGCTGCCCATTTTCAATGCAGTCTAAAGGCACAGGAGGTTCTTAGGTACAATAAAAGAACCTACTTCATTTTTCCTGATAGGGCTCCTTGAAGCAATTGCATCTATCTATAACAGTCATCTGGAGCTCTCCTGAGATCTGTCTTAGTTTGCTTTATTTATTTATTTAGGTGTTCTTTTGGGTTTTGTTTGTTGGGTTTTTTTTAACATGATCTAAAGCCCTCTGTAATATGACCATAGACTATTGAATTTAGTGAGGAGAGAGCTCCTTCTAGTGGTTGGCGATCTACTTCAGAAAAGAAATGCCTCCTGACAACCAGGAATGTGGGGTTTTTTCTTTCCAGTTCTGTTCTTTCATATATTCTACCCTGTTACCAGTAAAATAATAAAATCTTTTATTTTGCACATTTGACGTAGTTTAATGAGATTTTTGTATCAGATATTTTCAGGTTTTATTTTAGTGAGATGTATTAAAGTAACTCAGTAATTGTTTCATATTTTTTTAGTAATTTCAAGCTATTTCTGAAAAAAAAAATAGTAAAATGAAATGCTACTTTTAAAATTGTTTTAATACAATTTTTCTTCTAGGAAAGAAACTCCTACTTGTATTACCTAGTTACCCAAATTCATCTGAAAATTTAAGCATGATGCATGAAATAAGAGGGTATAGTAAAACATAAATTGTTAATGTGATGCTTTATAAAAAAATAGGGTGTGATTGTAAATATTCCTGATTTAAATGACTGGAGAAAAAGACATTCTCTTTGCTCAGATGACTGTTTCCTGTGGTGTTCTGGTCATGGCAGATCAGACCCAAAGTTCCACATATTCCCACGTCCTGTCTCCACCACCACTTGCAGCCACGCAGGAAGAAATGAAATCACAGCAAATGACCTGACAGCAATTATCTTTCTAGAAAATATGTAACTTTCTAATTTCTCTCCACAGGACTCTCCTCTAAAAGCTGTACAGATGTTGTGGGTCAACCTCATTATGGACACCTTTGCCTCCCTTGCTTTGGCCACTGAGCCCCCAACAGAGGCTCTGCTGCTAAGGAAGCCATATGGCAGGAACAAGCCCCTCATCTCCCGTACCATGATGAAGAACATTCTGGGCCATGCTGTTTATCAGCTTACTCTTATCTTCACACTCCTTTTTGTTGGTAAGAAACTTGGTTAGGCTTCTTGCTTAGTATAGAAGCATCCAGGTCTTACGGCCTGACATGTCAAAATGCTTTAAATGTAACCAATTTGTTCGCATCTCTTGAGTCTGTCCTGGTTGAACAGCTAGCAGGACCCAGCTGTTAAATGGGGTCAGGAGGGGAAGCAGAACAGAGGCATTTAGTCACCTTTTTATATTGTTTGCAGTGCAAAGGGCCTCAGTGAGCTTTTTTTCTCTCCTAACAAAATGTAGGCTTGGAGTAGTGCTGATCTTATGCAGTATAGATAAGCAAGTAATCAGTATTAAGTGATACAAATAACACTCTGTTTTGACATTTAATATCTAGAATGTATATTAAAAGGGGGGAGAAATGTAATTTATTAGATTAGCGTATGTTTCTTCAGGCCTTGCTAGTAATGGATGCTTTTTATAGGTTGTATTTTGGAGAGGGGATGGGAAGGAGGAGGAATGTTTCTTGCTGCAGGCAACAGTAGAGGCTAATAATAGATTCTGTTGCTCTACAATGAGTGAACTTGCTCAAAGGACTGATAATGTTACCAATTGGGTATTGTGTTCTTGTCACTGTCACCACTGCAAAATTACATGTGTTATCTCCAGATTTTTTTCTTTATACACAGACTTCAATATAAGCTCTAGATGTAAATGTATGATTCTTAAAAAATTTTTGAGCTGTCTTGGGAAAATCGTGCTGCACCTTAACCAACAGCTTTGCCAGCTTGTTTGGAACTCTGAAAGGAGGTGATGGCCTGTTTACAGTGGAGCTATTTAACCAGAGTAGTTGCCAGGTTTTTAAAGAGAAATGGTCTGCAGTGTATTTTGAGAATGTCTGGCAAGTCTAAGGAAATTGTAATTTCAGATTGTCTGAAACGGGCGTTAGAATCATAGAATCCCAGAATGGTTCAGGTTGGAAGGGACCTTAAAGATCATCCAGTTCCAACCCCGCTGCATGGGCAGGGACACCACCCACCAGCCCAGGTAGCTCCAAGCCCCATCCAACCTGCCCTTCAACACTTCCAGGACATAAAATTTTCCCACTTTTTCTATGATGTGGCAACATACACCTTGTGTTTGAACATTCAGCAATGCCTTTGAGGTATCAGCACATCAGAAATCCAGAAGCCACTGTCTAGTTCTGTCAAGCTATAGTATAAAAAAAACAAACTGAACCTCAGCAACTAGACATAATAAACCTTAAGTTTATGTACTCTAATTTTTGGAACATGTTTGGAAATAAAAACTAGTTATTGGTTTAAGTACTGCCATTACACCACAGCAGCATGTTCTGCTTTGCTGGTTAAGAGGTGCAATGCAGTAACAGAGACTTAAGGACAGGTGCTCTCACTGAGGAAAGTATTATTCATATATTTGTGTTTGTGGTGGTTTGAATGAAAGCAAATAGACCTGATGTGTGTGTCTATCTGTAAAAGATAACATTATATCTCTTTGCTATCATTAGTATTTCCTTTATCATTTCTGTGTAGTAAGGGAAATGTTTTCCAATACAGTTTTGAAGGTTTCCATACAGTTAATGGCCTCAGGTGTTCAGTCCACAAGAAATAATTGAATTCTTATAATAACTACTACTTTGTTAGAGGAAAAGTACTACTGAAAACTATTTGTGTTGGTATACTGAGTTATTAGATCAAACTAATCTCTTGAGAAGCTTCTTGCTTAGGAAGTTTAGATGCCTTTTGCTCACTGGTGTTCTGTCTGTAGTGTAGTAAGTGCAGAGAGAAAGCTGGTAAAGGAAAGCACAGGAAGCAACTACCTAAAGTAAACAAGGGAAATAGATATCTGTTTGATGAATATATTCTAGTGGAAACTTTTATTTTTGTCTCATACTTAGGTGAGAAAATGTTTAAGATTGACAGTGGGAGGAATGCTCCACTTCACTCTCCTCCTTCAGAGCATTACACCATTATCTTCAACACCTTTGTCATGATGCAGCTTTTCAATGAAATCAACGCACGGAAAATCCATGGTGAAAGAAATGTCTTTGATGGCATCTTCAGAAATCCAATTTTTTGCACTATTGTACTGGGTACCTTTGCTATTCAGGTAATGATTTAGGCAAGAATTAGTAACCCCATGATCAGAAATTGACCTTGAGTTTTTTTCTGTGTAGTATTTTTTAAAAAATCTAAATCTGTAGGAAGCACACTGAATAGGAAAGCAGCTGGGTTCACATGTTTTCTCTATCAGTACAATGTCAGTAATGGAAAATTATTTTACTTAATTTTAGTGTTATTTTGGATCTTAAAGTGGACAAATTACTTGAAACGTCTGTTTTGCAGCCTTTGACAGTTTAAGTCTCTAGCTTGTGGTTTCAGGTCCCTGGTTTTGCAACAGCACTGCTAACTAAAAAATATCAATAATATCTGATTTTCAATTAGCAAAACTTTCTCAATCTAACCAGGCTTAGGAACTCACGTTCTCTGTGTTTTGGTTATCCTGCTGCAAGGTGGGTGGTTTTCCTACCTGCTCTCTCCAACAGAACTAGATTTTGCTATACTATCAGTCTATCCATGGTAACGTGTCTGTAAGTGTACAATAAAATGTTAATGAGAGGGGGAAAAGTCTTCCATGCAGTCAAGACTCTAAAATTACATCAGGTTCAACATATATCTAGCCAAAAATACTTAGAATCTGGAAGAATAGATGGAACAGTCCTGTTTTCTTTCTTCCTGAGCACTCACCTATGACTGTTGTCAGAAGCCTCTATCGAAACTAGTGTGTTTTTTTCTGGCCTTTACTTCAGGGTGCATAAGTTTGTGTGGTTTGATTTTTAGTGACTGAGATTCTGCAGCTTTTGCTGGATGGTTCAAAAAATGTACTTCTGGAAGCATAACTTAGTGCCTCCTAACCAGGTCAAATGACATATATGGAATATAAGACAGTGTTTTGATTTTGGATGATCTTTAGATTCAGTCCACTAAGTATTAGATTGTTAATAATACATTTGACTAGTCTGCAGGTAAAATATGTTGGAATCAAACTGGCAGAGCTGTAATATATAAAAAGACAAAGTAGAATTTCAAGTAAAAGATGAAAAAGTTATTTTGTTGGGTTTTTGTTTGTGGGTTTTTTTGGGGGGTGGGGCTTTTTAGGGGTAGTCTTTTGCTTTCTTTTTAACCCAAAAAATGTTTACTTCCTTTCTTCTCTGCTTTTCTTTGTAGATAGTAATTGTCCAGTTTGGAGGAAAACCATTTAGCTGTTCCCCCCTGCAGCTTGACCAGTGGATGTGGTGTGTATTTATCGGATTAGGAGAACTTGTGTGGGGTCAGGTAAGCGTTCAGGAACATGCAGATTTCCTTCTTTTGTTTTTATAAACCAATCAAAATCTGATATTGTTCATAATTCTACTATACTGTTGTTTCCTTGATCTCTCTCAGTTTCATATTTAGCACACACTAAAATACAGGGTGCTCTCTAAATACTTCAAGAATAGATGCAGTAGTAAGGATAATTTATCCCGCTGTTCCATTTGATTTTTTGTTAATGTTCATATCTTTTCTTTCCCTAAGCAGGGCGTGCTATCTCCAAGGTCTTCTTCAGTTAGGCTTTTTCATGAAAGACACTTGATTCATAACTGAGTCCTCTAGTCACAAAAAAAAAGTATAATAAGGGCTACTCCACCTTCCCAGCAGGGAAGGTACCCAGTGCAGCAGCTGTGTTCAGCCTGGGCAAATTTCAGAAAATGAAAAGAAGTTCCAGGTTTATGGCAACCCTCTGGTTTCCCTCCTGAAACTGCCAGTTTATCAATTCACAGCAGCCTTGTTACTGGCACAGGGCTAAGTCCACTGCACTTCATAGATACCCACAGTGATCCTTCCATCCTGTTTCTGTGTGCCAAGGATGGAAGAGGGGATGGAAGAAAAGGGATTTTTTCCTATAATAGTTGCAGAAAAGGGCAGCTAAATTAATGTGTCATTTTTAAATTCTGCTGCAACCTGTATCATCATTAGCTAATACCAAATTATATCTGTAAATGTAAGAGCAAGTGTTCAACAAGATACTTAAATAAGTGATTATCTGTCTGGAAGTAGTAATACTGATACAAGCAGTATTGTTAAAATGCTACATGATTCTTTATGTAGAAAAACATTTTTCAAAGTTAATATTAATGCTATTTTTTCATCTCTGAATGCATTGTTAATGTCCTTAAGTTGATGCCACCTGACACAGTTTAAAAAAAAAAAGTGGAAGATGTGGTTAATGTTTTGCCTCTTGACGTGCAGACACGTGTAGATCAACTAGTTTGCTACTATGAAGACACAGGCAAGAAATTGCCAGTTGCAATTAAATACTGAAATGGTTCTGATGGGATCATAAAGAAGGATGCTAGCTGTCCAAAATTATTATTTGTATCTTATAGAAACAAATAATTTTCTGGACAGTTGGGCCTCAGATATTTATTTTTTTTAAGAAATAAGCTCAGAGTCACGACAGCTTTTAATGCACATGTTGCTGAAGACCACTACTAGGTTGTTATCATGTAATTATTACCTGAAGATGGGATTTGATTAATGACCTTGCAGAGGGAAAACCTAGAATCAGTTTGATAATTCTTAGAAAGAAAAGATTTATTTTCAACTGATTGGAAAACACCAACTTTGGGAGTGGGGAAGAAAAGCAGAGCAAGGGAGAAAAATCCTAGCAGTTTTATTAGATAATTCAGCTGTGAAGAATTTCCCACAGCCTTTGATAACTGTACTATTTGGCTTCTAAATTTTGTTCTGCATGTTTATTACATAACCATTGAAGGCTAAGAATGATATCAGCATCTGTTCTCAGTTTAAAGATAGGCATAGTTGTCCAAGCCTTATCATGAGAGCCTGGCCATTGAATTAAAACTGAGATTGGAATACCTCAACAATTTTATTGCTGAAAAAGTGTAATTTTGCATAAAGTAAATACAGAGGGGAAAAAAATATATATGTTTGTGATCAGTATTTTGTGACCCGAAAAGAAAAACACAAGCTAAAAAAAATGCATTCTTTAGATTATTTACAATATGTGGCAAGTCCTCTCTTCATGGAGCTGTACATAAGCACAGATTCTTTGCCTTTAGGAGAGGTGCTTCTCTTCCTTAGCCTTTCCTCTCCTGCTACGTCTAACTCTAGTTCAGCAGAAAACAATTTGTTATTCCTTTGTTTTATCACAGTCTCCTGAACCTGCTGTTCTTGTGAACCACTAAAACCAATCAAGATTTCCAAGTTTAGATGTTTAACTTGGTACTTCAGGTGATTTAAGGTGCGATTTCTAGGAAGCCAACCTCAGATGCTTTGAGGAACAGTTTTCTAAAATGTGGCCCTTATCCCTTCCTACAACCAAGTCTTTCTAAAATATTTTGTGATACATTCCCAGAATTATTGATCGCTTTTGAAAACCGCAATCATTTTCCTGGGAATAGGATTTAGTTCCTTAAGCTACACTCAGTCTGTTGAGTCTGCCATTACCTGAACTGGGCAGGTGTCTGCAGATATGGAAAACAAAATGACCAAACAAAAAGACATGTGAACACCCTAAGAAAAGAACAAAAGCACAATCTATCAGCCTGGCTGAGAGAGGTCATGAAGGAGAGGTATGTTCCATCACACAGAATCACTACCCAATACAGTTGTTTCTATGTGTACTGTCTTCCAAGTACTTCATCACCATCAGTTTCCTCAGATACCAAACAATCTCAAGTAGCTTCTTTCTGTAGAGTGCTGGCATTAGAGTGTTTTGAAAGCTGGGAAGCTGAAGGAGTTTCAGTAAGTATTTAAATGACTAGCACTTACCTTCTCTTTTTTCTTCTGTTCTGTCTTTACTTGTGTCACACCGGTCCATTAATTTTCCAAGTTTCTATCTTGTTTTTCAAACCCCAAAATGCATTTTAAAAAGGTTCTCTAGTAGTGTAGGAACTGGATTGTTGCTGGGGTTTTTTTGTTTCTTTGTCTGTAATAAAAGCAGAGGTGTGGATCATGAAGTTCAAAACCCTTAGCAAGCTTGTTCATTTTAATCCAGAAAATATTTGGGGCTTTTTCATGTGTCTTCACTATATTCATCCCAGTGTTCCAAAACTGTAAGATACATCCTCACCAGCTTCCTGCGACAGCTTGATTCAAGCTCCATCTTTCACATATTTGGCCTTGAAAAGGGTGATTGCTCACTGCTGAAATAAAAGATAAAAAAGAAAATTGCAGCACTATTTTTCTAAATATTTACTACTGGCTAATAGTTAACTTTGTAGGAGATTATTTTTTTTTAAGCACTCAATATGTTTTAGGCAGTGTCTTGTTTAAATAGCCATCTGCTCATTTTTTAATTCAAGCTGACAAAAGAAATCAAAGAGAAAATGACGTCCCAAGAGGGTAACACTGGCATGTATTTAAAATTATACTGTTGTAACATAGTCTAACTACAGTATTTGCAAATGTTTATTATTATTAGCCATCTTCTGTGTTAATTATTTCCAAGGACCATTTGGTGGACAAACAGAATAAGAAGAGGGGCCGAGTTAAGCAGAATTTATTAGTAATAAGGAGACAGAGTAGGAGGGAGCCCTGTAAAAAGTCTGACAGGGAGCCAGTCAAACCCACACCTTTCAGAAACCTAATTTTTGATAAAAGCTGAGAAAAGCTTTTCAAATTGCTGAAACAAAGGGAAGCTGAATACACAGAGCTGTGAAGTGTGAGAAGATTTATAAGCGTGAGATGCAGCTAATTTTCAGCTCACATTAACATACATTAGATAATCATCAGTCATTAGAATATCATCATTAGCAATGCCCAAACTCTTAATTGCAGAAGTATCAGTCTTCCTAAGTTTTCTTTAAATAATTGCATTCAAATACTCACGTCCTCTTTGAGTTTTTTTGAGAAATGCCAACATTTTTCCCAGCCTTAAACTTGCTCCACAGCCCAGTATTGCCAGTGTGGTTTAACAATGTGAGTAGTGCTGATTGTTTACACAGTAAACTAAGTATTTATGGACTGAACTGGAGTTGTATAAGTGTAAAGTACTACTATGAGTAGGCTAATCTTAGATTTCCTGAAAGATTATAGATCTCATGAAAATATCAGTGTTCTTTTGTAATTAGCAGATTATTATACTATTGTTACTGAATGAGGCTTATGTTTTCAGTACTTTTTTATAATTTTAGGTCATTGCAACCATCCCAACAAGTAGGCTAAAGTTTTTAAAGGAGGCAGGGAGGCTCACTGAGAAAGAGGAGGCCCCTGAGGAAGAACTCAATGAAGATGTGGAAGAAATTGATCATGCAGAGAGAGAACTTCGACGTGGACAAATTCTCTGGTTCAGAGGGCTCAACAGAATCCAGACCCAGGTATGCTAAAAGTAAATGCCCACATGGTATGGAAAAAAAGTTTAATCTTTGAGCAAGCCAAGATAAGGTTATAAGGGGAAAGCTGCAGAGTGTTTCTGTGTGTGAACGATGGTCCTTACTTTCAAAGAAGGACCCCATGACAAAGTAAAAGAGGTGAACTGAACAAAGGGGGGGGGGGTGTGTATAGCAGAAGAGATAAAGTCAAAAGATTATAAAATGATAAGATGCAAAAACAGGACTAGTTTTTGGACACTACTGTGAATGAACATTCTTTTCTACTTCAGTGATGACAGCTCATAAAATAGTGCTACATGGAAGGGGCTGGCTGGGACAAGGGCTAGCAAAAGTGTTACAAAGGCTTTCTAAAACATATGGGTTTATTTTGGAAGTAAAAAAAAAAAATAATTGCTGCCACTTCTGCAATAACAGAATAATTTAAATTATTGAGTCTAAAGTGTAAAGTTCCATTTGATTAAAAAAATAATCTGCTCTGTTCTGTCACTGCCTTTTTATATATATAATTGTTAAAAGGAATTTACTTTCTTTCCTGTTAGGAAATGAAAAATGTGGTTCTGGATTTATTTTTAGTAGTAAGGACCTAAGCATCCATTAACAATTGAAACGCATGTGTTGGCTACTATGGATGATTTCTTATAAATATCTATCCTATTATTGAAAAAAAACACCCAACTTTTGTGAAATACAAAAATGCATCGCAGTTTTTAATATACTAAATATTTGCAATGAATCATGGTGCTAAATATAGTACAGGTTAGGATGTCTAGTAAAATTTGTCCTATAGTGCTAAAAGAATGATGTGAATTATGTTGCCTTTTCCATTGCAGTGAAGTAGCATGTTTTATAGCATTCTAGTGCTCTCTACTTGATCTTTCTAAGATCAAGGATCTATGCCAGCTTGCAGAAGAGAGCAGCTCTGGCACAGATATGCACCTGCCAAAATCAGATGTGTGTTACATGATGCTTACAAGTGGAAGAGATGAATAAATAAGAAAAATATTTTTTTTAAGAATCTTTTAAAGAAAATTTTGTCTTAGAAGATTTTGATTCTTGTCTTCATACAAAACAAGCAGTTCTTTCTCCCTTTTCCCATCCTCAAATTGATTCACTTCTGGAGAAAGAGGTGAAACTAGGACAGTTTCAGGTCTCTTTAGTGCATCTGCAGAGCAAAAAAGAGAGTGGAAACTGCTGTTAGAGAGATTAAGGGTCTGGATTAAGGTTCCATGGTAAGTAATTAAATACGGATCTTCAGCTTTGGGGTTGTGTGTCATGACTTTGTTGAGTCAGGAGCACTCGTCATTAGAGAAAATTCAAATATTCACACTATAGAGGTGACAAACAAGTTCCCAGGTAATGGTGAGCTATATGGAAAGATGACCTCTAAAAGTGCATTCTTTTCTTCCTGGTGGCTATAGGAGGAGTGTTGTCTGTGGGCATTTCTGTCAGGATGTCTTTCTGGTTGTGGTGAGTGTAAACGACAAGCCCAAAAAAGCAAATTACATCCTTTCAGTTCTTCTAGTCTGAGAGATAGCTTGTAGTTCTGCATATCTTTGTCCACTTAATTCACAGATAAATTACTATTCTTATATACTCTTTAAAACGAAATGAACATTAATTATATTTTTCTGCTAACATCCATGTTCTTAGTTTCCTATCTGCTCTTAGCTGTAGAAATATCTTCAGTAGGATGTATTGTTTCCTGCCAAGAAGCCTATGTGATTTTTTTTCTTAATGTGTTTATTCGGTTACTTAGATTTTTACATCCATTTAATGTCTGTGGAATGATAATGAAAAGAAGGAAATGGGCCAACAGATTCAGAGAGTTCCAGGGTGTCCACTGGAGAGTGATGAATCTATATGCAGGTCAAATTAGATCCATCGTTGGATGGACCTTCAGTTGAGTGCACTTTGATGCGCTGTGTGTTGTGGCCCACCCAAAGGAGTTTATACACTTGTACTACATTTCTCAGGAAGCCAGCTGAAGAAGAGTTGATGGAAGAAGATGAGGATGTATGTAGCATCCTTTTGGAGCTGGAGGATTTGCAAGAATCCTCTGATGTCTAATGCACTTCTGGAGATGTGGAAGAAGGCGGCAGAGCATCCCCTTGCTTTCTATGTATGAGGCTGACAGTAAGATTAGGAATAAACTCTAGAGTCTTTCACTACTAGATTGGTCATTCAAATCCCAGCAAGACCAGTTTCCACCATCCATGCTTGTGCTGTATATTAGATTATTTTTGCTTGTTATCTATCCAGTCGTTACTGGACAGGTAGCCATAGCACTCAACCCGAGCCTTCACTTCTGAAACAGTTACAAAGGATCTGCTACCATAGTGGGGTCTCCTTTAAAAGTGACAGATGTCCAATGAAAACTCATCCAGCCTGACAAAAACTTTAGTAAAGACATTTTTATCTTTTTTGCACCCTCTCTCAAAACAGAAGGTTCAAACCTAGACACCAGAGAAAGGATTTCTGCTGTTCCTTCTTCACATTGAAGTGTCAGACTTATGTCACTTGTCTGTGAAGACATGCATGAATTTACTTTAAATAAAGGTGTGTTTCTGCTGTTCATTCTTCACATTGAAGTGTCAGACTTATTTCTGTGAGGACATGCATGAATTTACTTTAAATAAAGGTGTATGAAAAATGCACATAGGTCAAGGAGACTATCAGCTTCAGGATTTCTTTTTTGTCTGCTTTTGTTCATTTAAGATAATCTATTGTCTTACAGTTACACTGTAGGGCTTCTCTGAATGGGTGCATGTTCTTCTCTGAATGCAAGATGGGTGCATGTTCTTCTGACTCTCTCAGGAAACCACTGACATTTCACCAGTGTCTCATCCTAGTTATGCAAGTTCCAGAAGGATACAAAGGTGGTCTCCAGTTGTATAAAAGACAGGACTTCACAACCTCTGGTGGTTTGCAGCATTTTTTTTCCAAGTCTTCATTGCAGTTCTCAAAAATTCTTCATTCTGAAGGAATAAAAGTGTTGAGACAAGACTGATCATACCATCTTTTCAGAAGAAATAGCCTTTGGGGAGTTCAGCAAGTTCACCTTTAGGCAAAACTACATTGCATTTTTATGATTGTATACAGAAATGTTTCTTTAGTTACCTCACATTTGAGTATGGAAAAATGATGAAGTGTGGAGGATAGAAAACTTTAAGCTATACGTTATATTTTAACAACCTTGGGCCTGATTCTTTTCTCCTGTGCTTCATTCATCCTGTAATTCAGTTTGTTTTATCTGCGTAAGTAAATAACTGTCTAGAAATGTTCTGAAAGGAAAAGCAGAAACTGAAAGATATGTAAATGCCATGTTAAACTACTACTGAAAAAAGATTGTTCCTCTTCAGCTACTAAAAAAACACATAGAGGTGCTGCACTGCATTGTATTCCCATTTCTTTCTGCATTAAAACTTTCCTCTTGAACTGCAAAACCTGTAGCAGTGAAAATCTGTCCTGGCAGGTGGTTCTGAAGTTAGATAAGAGGTAGCACTTCATTCTGTGGCTTTTCATCTGGCTTTAATAACAAAAAACATTGCAGTAGGCCAGTGTAAGAGGAATGGAAATTGTTTTATTCCATGCAGAAAAGTTACTTTAAAAAGTAAATAATTATGAGATGAGCTGAATGATACCTGGGTCCTATTAACATTAATGAGAACAGAAATGCTTGCTGAAAATCTGTTTTCTGATAAACAGCAGAAAAGTATTTGTTCTGCCAGGACTATTCTGCTAGTAAATGAACTTTTGGGGTTTTTTCACTGCTGATTACTGGCATTTTTATTAGCTGTGCATACCTCAAAAACATACATCTTCTGGAGTATAGAACATACAGAAAAATGAGAGAAGTGAAAATTCCAACCTTACAAATCAGCTTCATACCCAGGACATTACTTTTTTTTCTCTACCTGAAGGCCTAGAATCAAAACTTATATTTTGTTGGAAATTTTTCAGCCATTTCATGATCTATGATTTATCATTTACCTTCTCCTTTTTTATCAACTTGACTAGTTCGAAATAATTGCATTCTTTTGTAATTAAAAATTTACAATATTCATTTATTTATTTAGATTAACTCTTTGTTCTTTGTTATTTTCTGGTTTTGAGAAAGAAACCTTTGGGCCAATTTCCTCTCTTCTTTCTTGGCTTCAGGCAGAACACAGCCCTCTTAAATTCAGCTTTGAAGACTCTGAAAATGTTGTTATCCTCCCTTAAGAATAATATCCAGGAAGGTCTGTAGTTCCTTTCTTCAGGACAACGACTAAATTGCACCCCTGTAATTCATGTTCTCTGGAGAAATTATGACATACAGATCTTCCCTTCCCTTTTCACTCTTAGACTGAAGTCTTCCCTTTCAGTTTATTAGAAAGACATTTGTACATCTAGAAATGCCCTTTACCAGCTCTGCCTTTCACAGTCATTTGCACTTCATGCTCTCAGTAAGAGTCCTTAAAAAAGAAATCCTTTTTGAATGGTCTCTTTTGAAGAGTGCTCTGTCACCTGTCTTAGATCATGAAAACCCAAGATCTGTATTTAATTCTACTTTTATACAGTGAACATTTCAGGTGAGTAGTTAATCTGCCTTCATATGTAACCAGTGGTTTGAGCCATATGTTTTTTTCTACATGCCAATGTGAACCTTAGCTAATGATTCACTTGCACCCCTATTCCATATGCTAACTCATCTCATACTGTATTTTTTTTACTGTGGTATTTGTATTGGGCATTTAATTTAAAAATAAGTCTGCTGCAGAAAACACTGAGAGCAAAGCTGCAAAATGTGATGACTGCTTAATATTATACATCTTAGTGTGCACATTTAAATGGATGTTGTAAATAGGACTCTCATTGGTCAACAGTGGGGCAGTGAACAAATCAGCTGTCTAATTTTTGTATAGTAAAAGTTCAGTGTGACCATTTTACAGCAGTAACTTTTGATCCCTTCTACAAGCAGGAAAATAAACTATGATGTCCAAAGA